TATTATTATTATTTATTATTATTATTATTATTATTATTATTATTATTATTATTATTATTATTATTATTATAATTGTCTCCCTGCAGAGAAACACAAGGAAGGAGCAGCGCATAGACTTTATTTTGCCGCTTGCAAAAGATTTAGACAGGTGGGTATATCTTTTTTATTAAACATTTCAGTGTACATACACCTGAATTTTATATATATATTTGCATTTAGAGTTAAGGCATATAATAGCTCTTTTTTTTTAAATATGCTGCATGTCTGTCTTCCCTCTGTCTGATATCTATCTATCTATAATTATTATCCTTGTTGTTTGAATGATATTTCTTTTGCTTCTTAACAGCACCAGTGCTTCTTTATATTTATCTTTAAATAAATAATAATGCCTATATCTTTGCTTCTTTTCTTTTAGATATGCAGCTGCATGTCAAAGAGATTCATTCCCCGAAGCAGTCGTAGGGAAGCCGATGGAGAAGCTGAGTATACCGTAAGTATATTAAAGTTGTTTTTATTTATTTTGTGTGTTTTAAGTATATTAGAATTGTTTTTATTTATTTTGTTTGTTCTAAGTATATTAATTGTTTTATTTATTTTGTTTGTTGTAAGTATATTGCTTCTTTTTATCTATTTTACTCGTTTATTCGTACAACACAAAACAAAAACACAACTTTATAATAATAATAACAATAATAATAATAATAAATAATATAATAATAATTAATAATAATAAATAATAATAACAATAGTATTCAGCTGTTTATTGCATTGCTGCTGCTTCCTTCAGGTTCGTTTTGTGTAGGAAGGGGCTGATGGCGATTTATAAAAATAAATTTGTAAGCAGAAAAGTCTTCAGAATCTCGTTGCCCTTAACTGCTGCTGTTGCTGCTGCTGCTGTTGCTGCTTTTGCTGTTGCTGTTGCTGCTGCTGCTGCTGCAGCTGGTGTCGCTGCAGCTGCTGGTATTGCTGCTGCTGCGGGTGATTCTGTTGTTGCCGGGTGCTGCCGGTTTCGTTGCTCGTGCTGGAGTTGTTTGGACTGTTGAGGCTGCTGCTGCTGCTGCTGCTGTTGCTGCTGCTGCTGCTGCTGCTGCTGAATGCATGCAGCACACGCACGCGGAGGTAACGATAGAAGTGTCTCGTTACAGTTTTTCTGAAGAGGGGCCGGCGTATTGCTTTACGAGTTTGGAGGGGAAGGTAAATAAAGAAATAGAGTAAAAGGAGCAGCAAATATAAAGTTGTAGCGTATACAACAAGACAGCAGCAACATAAACAAAGAAACAAATGCAGAAATATAATTTATTTATTTTATTATTCTTCGGATGCGAATGCAGGATCCGCCAAGGAAAGTAACGGTAGCAGCTCCAGACTCGCGAGAGAGGTAAGTGCATGCAAAAAGACTATTATATATCTCTGCATGCACCTTTGGGGCTTTGTTCGTCTTCTACCCACATGAAGTATTTTAGTAGACAGACGCCCCGTAGACGCGCTAATTGCCGATGTCGCTCGCTTCCAGCTGCTGTTGCTGCTGCTGTTGCTGCTGGTGCTGGTGCTGCTGCTGTTACTGCTGGTGCTGTTGCTGCGGCAGTTATTGCTGCTACTGCTGCTGTTGTTGTTGCTGCTGCTGCTGCGTTTCGGTGCCTTCTTTGGTCTCCTGTCCTTACACATGATGCTTGTTTGAAAAGAAGGGAATAGATCTTCAGCTTATTACGAAGGCTCCTCACATTTTTGCATGCATGCATGCATATTTTTGCATGCATGCATGCATATTTTTGCATGCATGCACATTTTTGCATGCATGCATGGATGCATGCATTCTTTTTTGCATATTTTTGCATGCATGCAGGTGGGAATTTGCCTTGAAGTTGACTGGCTTTAAGCCGTTTTCTTCAGTGCAGCTTCCGCGATTCTTTCTTCCTCAAATAATGTGAGTAATGCAAAGGGTTTTATTTACTGTCTTTCTTTCATCTTGTTCTGTTTCCTGTGCTTCTCTGTTAATGTCTATATATATATATATACATATATATAAGTATATATATATATATGAAAAGGGTTTTATTTGCCTTCTTTCATTGTTGTTTTTCTGCTTGCTTTTTATCTGGCAGTATTTCTTTCCCCGCGTATCTCTGTGAATGTCTATATATATATATATTTATATATATATATATATATTTATATTTATATTTATATTTATATTTATATTTATATTTATATTTATATGAAGTGGGTTTTATGTGCCTTCTTTCATTGTCGTTGTTCTGCTTGCATATATGGTAATAAATATTTCTGTATGTTTCTCTATTAAAGTCAATTGAGTTGTTGCTGTTCGTACGTTAAAGTGTAGCTGCTGAAGAAAGCTTCTTTCTGAGTTTTGTATATGCCTTCAGTTACGGCTTTGTTTCCGAAGAAGCATGGGAGTTAAGAAAAGACGGTTTCTTAGGTAATGCAAGAGCTGCCTTAGGCTTGTGGAACCTGCAAAGAGAGCCTAGGAGCTTTGTTACACATACAGACGCTCAAAGTCATCGTTCGCCACCTTGTACGGAGTCAGGGAGTTTCTAATGCTTCAATTTCTATGATTTTGTTGCATGCATGCTTGCTGGGGCCCCAGCTACCCGCTTCTTGCATGCGCCTAACTCAGCTTTTTTTCTGCTTCTTTTCCTTTATATTTACCTTCGTTTGGAGTTCATTCAAACGCCTAGAGGCACCCCTTGACCTTCTGCATTAAATAATGAAGCTAAATATAGGCCCAACGTACAGCAACAGCTTCAGCTGTGTCTACAAGTCCGAAGAAATAAAGTTTTGTAGGCGTTCAAGGCAGCACATGAATAACAGAAATTGTTACTGGTCTTTCCCTTATAATAATAATAATAATAATATAATAATAATAATAATAATAATAATGTATTATTAAGAGATGCATGTATTCTTTTGATTCTCTTAATGAGGAGTATGTCAATATATATTCAAATAACAGACATACAGAGCCTTCTCGAGAAGAAAGAGAAACAAAGAGAGCTCTAAATAGCGGTGCCAAGGGCGATAAGTAAATAAATAATAAGGCTTCATACAAATCAATCAATTCTTAGGGAAGTGAGATCTAACAATTTCTTCAAAACTTCTTCATCAATTCTTCACAGAAAACATGCACTCTGTTTTATTGCAGAAAAACAAACGCTAACTTTTTCTTTGCAAATGAAGCATTCTTAAACATATATATATATTATTATAATATATATATATATTATATAATATATAATATATATAATATTATATTGTATGTTTCCTTACTAGCTCATTGCTTAGAGCTATGGGCGTATGTTGAACTGCTGCTGCGAATTTGAATTTGCAAAATGCAGAAAAAGTTTGATTTAAACTTTTTCTGCATTTTGCAGTTGAATTTAAAAGTAAATTAAAAGTCTGTCTTAATAAATATTACTGCTGTTACTGCTATGATTCCTTTCAAGAAGAACAAAGAAAAACAACATATTGTACAGAAACGAGAGGCAAACAATAAAGATATGTTTATTTGTTTTGCTTGCAACAAACAAAGCAGAAAAAAATAAGTTTTCCTTTCATAAGAGGAGCTCAATAACTATGAAATTCCTATTCTGTAGAACATCATTAGAGAGATTAAATAGAGATTAAATAAGCAAATAAACAAATAAACAACAACTTAGTTTGAATATACATAAATATATATATATATATATATATATGTATATATATATGTATATATATATGAAAGTATAGAAAGTGTATATTAAGCTTCTCTTACAGTCAGTAAATGATGAGTCTTCTTTAGCATTTATTTGATAACCTCCATTAGGTATTTTTACGTGCATGCATAATAAACGTAGATAAAGATTATATATATATATAATCTTAGATAAAGATTATATGTATATAGATTATATGTATATATATATATATATATCATGCGAATATATTAATAAGGCATCTTTATCTATGCATAGTAAATATATATATATATATATATATTTAATATGTAGATTCATACACAGGAATATTCTTGCAGCATGTAGAGTATGGGTAGAAGGCGTATTTTTATGTGTATGCATAATAAACTTAGATAAAGATGTTACATTAATATATTTGCATAATATACATATTAGATTATATATATTATATTATATATATGATATATAATATATATTATATATAATATACTTTTTACACATAGTGGATGCATTATGCACATGATATAGACTCTCTGAATAGGTCTGTTTAATATACATAATATACAAATAAACATTGTAAATAAATAAACATATATCTAAATTCAATTATTTATTTATTAATAAAATATAATTATATTATTTTAACAAGATAAAGCTGCGTCAGGGATAATAATGCGGTAAACTCAGTCAGCGGGCCCCTGGTATACCTGTTTGTGAAGGGCCCTTAGTTTGAGTATTTTCTGCAGTTTTTCTGTTAAATTATTGCATTTTTTTGTTTTTTTTGTTTATTTTCTTTTATTTTATCTTCTAAGAAGGAGAACAATGTGCGTATGTTGCTGCTTTGTCTGCGGCTATGCTGGGCGTGCTGCAATATAAGGCAGAGGCCCCACCAAATTTTTGAGCATTGTCTATGAGGGCTCTCTCTTATTCTTCTTCTTCTTCTTTTCATTGAGTCTATAAACATTAACTCTAATTAAATATGATGACTTTGTCTGCTCCGGCAGCTCCTCCTCTCTGGTCTGCTGCAGTAGCAGACGCTGTTGAGGGCACAAGAGGCCTTCATTCCTTAATGCTGCTGCAGCAGCAGAAGCAGCAGCAGCAGCAGCAACAGCAGCACCAACAGCAGCACCAACAACAACACCAACAGCAGCGGCAACTGCAGCAGCAGCAGCAACTGCAGCAACTGCAGCAGCTGCAACAACTGCAGCAGCAGCAGCAGCAACCCTATAGTACCCTCCAACGCTGCGTGGGTGGTCTCCACAGCCAAGATCGGCAGCAGCAGCAGCAGCATCAGCTACGTCACGAGCAGCTGCAGCAGAACTTGAATATTCAAGCAGCACTGCTGCTGCGGCGTGCAGCAGCTGAAACAGCATCTGGCTCTGCTGCTGCTGCTGCTGCTGCTGCTGCTGCTGCTGCACGGGAAGGGGAGATGGGATCCTTCCCTATAAATGCAGAGATGATGGATGATGAGGCTGTTACGCTGCAGCTGTTGGGCGAGGTAGAGCGCAGAGGCAGCAGCAGCCGCAGCAGCAGCAGCAGCAACAGCAGCAGCAGCAGCAGCAGCGATAGCTCTCTTCCGCTTATTATTGAAACTTCTAATGAGTCAAGCAGCGATTCAGAACCTGATGCAGATTGGGCAGAGCTGACGCTGGAGGAAGCAGCAGAAGAAGGCGGGGGCTTTAGTTATTACAGCCTTCCTCTCATGTCTGCTTCGCAGCAGCAGCAGCAGCAACAGCAACAGCAGCAGCAGCAGCAGCAGCAGCAGCGAGAGTACCACCATCTTATGCCTGCTGCTGCGGGGGCCCCTTTGTCCGTCTCCAGGCATCAACAAATGCAAGAGAGAGCGCGGTGAGGCGTCTGTAGCTGCACCTGCAGCAGTTGTTGCTGCTGCTGCAGCAGTTGTTGTAGCTGCTGCATCTGGTATCCTTGCTGCAGTTGCTGCTGCAGTTGCTGCTGCAGCTGCTGTTATGGCTGCTGCAGCTTGCGTTCCTGATGCAGTTGCTGCTGTTGTGGTGTATATACCTCACCTAGTGTTGCTGCTGCTGCCTCAACTACAGCAGCTGCTGCTGTTGCTGCTGCCTCAACTTGAGAAGCTGCTACTGTTGCTGCTGCTGTTGCTGCTGCTGCTGCTGCTGCTGCGATTGCAGGGAGGAATTCACAGCCGTCCCTGCTGCAGTCTGCGGTGCGTCTTTTTGCTGCTTCTTTGTGGTTGTTGTTTGCTTTTAATTAATTTACTGATAACGCAAACCCTTAACCCTAAACCCCAAACCCTAAACATACTGACAAAGCAAACCCTAAACCCTAAACCCTAAACCCTAGACTTCACGTGGTTGTGTTTTGTTTTGCATGCCCTGCAGCACACCGTAAATACCCTACACCCAGAGGAAGCCCTTCCGCTAGTCAGTTCAGAAGGCCAGCTGCAGCGCAGCAAGAACAGCAGCAGCAGCAGCCGCAGCAGCAGCAGCAGCAACAGCAGCAACAGCAGCAGCAGCAGAGTTTTTCGTTTGTGCGGGGGTTGGCAACGGCCTTTAAGGAGAAGATTTTTGATGTAGTTAGGCCGGAGGCAAAGGGAGAGTTGAAGAAAGAGACCCTAGATAAACCAAATGAAGAAGCAGCAGCAGCAGCAGCAGCAGCTGCTGCTGCTGCTGCTGCTGCTGTTGCAGAGACACCGGGAATTGTTGCGCTACAAATGGGGTTGCTCCATTTGTCTAGAGAAGAGAAGAGACTAAGAAGGCGGCAGACAACAGCATTAAAGCAGAGATCAGCATCAGCAGCTTCCTCTAGCAGCAGCGCGAGTGAGAGCAGCAGCACAAGCGGGACGCCCAGAACAGGGAGCAGCAGCAGCAGCAGCAGCAGCTGCTGCAGCAGCAGCAGCGGTTGTAACAGGAGCACCAACGGGAAGCAAAGAAACCGCATTCAATCAAGCAGCTCCTCTATCTTGAGGTGTACAGACACCGGAAGTATGCGCACAGTTCGCCGCTGTATCTCTTCCCCTACTTTTGCTGCATTTATTTCTTCTTTACCCTCAAATAAAGGAGAAAGAGATCAGCTACAGCGACGCAGAGCAGCCAGCAAACAATACTCATTAACAAGGTCTCTGCTGCAGCAGGCAGAAGACGCATCACAACCCAGCCCCCCCACTGCAACAGACACAACAGCAGCAGCTGCAGCAGCAGCAGCAGAAGCAGAAGCATCTTATCCTTCGGCTATCCACGCTGCAGCGAAGGGCCCTGCATGCATGCATTGCAGTGGAGGGGAGAGCAGGGGACAAGCTGCTGCTTCTACTGCTTCTGCTGCTTCTGATGCTTCTGCAGCAGCAGCAGCAGCAGCAGCAGCAGCAGCAGCAGAGCGGGGCCGTCTGCAGCGGGAGCAGCGAGCCCTCGATGCTGCTGCTGTGCTGCAGCAGGAGAGAGAGCGGCAGGAGCTGCAGCGCAATGTACTGTGGTGGTTTGCAAGCGATATATTAATGCCTGAGTGTTAGTTTGCTGATGAAGGCTGTCTTTCTTTTTCTTTAATCTTTAAACTCCAGACACATGCAATAATGCAATAACCTTCGATACAAAAAGAATTCACAATCATGCATGCACATCAAATATATATATATATTTGTTTTGTGTACACCATCACAAAGCAAAGCTCAGCTCGCGGAGAAGACGTTATATATATAAGTTAAATACGTATATATGCATATATATATATATACGTATATGTATTATATATTAATATGTAGTTTAAATATATATATGTATCTACACATATATATATATATATATATATATATATTATATAGATCAGTATATATATAGTTATAGATATATAGCTCACACACACATATATATAATATATATCGATATGTATATATATACATATCTAATTATAGATATAATACTTTATTATTAGTGTATACGCAGTATTGAATATATCCCCTGTAGATATTTTATTTTTATAAATGGATTTCTTTACTTTAATAACAAAACAAAAAGGCATTTTGTATCTATTATAATATTCTAGTAATAAATACGCACTTATTGTTAGGTTGTGATGATATTATAATTATATTTCAGCTATAAATAGAATATATAATTATAATTATTTATTGCAGTTATAATGTAATTATGCTTCTGTAGTAAACTCCGCTCATCAAGGGAAAGACCGCCACAGATATATATCGGAAGACAGCCCCAAAAAATGGTGCCCACCCCATGCGTTCATGCGCATGCATGCATGCATGCATGCATGCACGCGTGTTTCTTGCTTGCATGCATTCATGCATGCGCGCATGCTTGTTTACATGCATGCATGCATGCATGCATGCGTACATGCTGCATGCATGCATGCATGCATGCATGAGAAGAGAGACGTTCAGGGCCCCGGTCTCATATCATATACACTTGATGGGCACTGCGTAGGGAGTGTTGCAGGGGCTGTGCATGCACAGTCTAAAGGGTAAGAAGATGCGAAATAAAGAAAGAAGTATTTATTTTGTTTTATTTTTGTTTGTTTTACTGGCCTTTATATTGCTCAGGGATATAATCTTCAGGGTTTACATCAACTCCTCTCCACTTCTTTGCTCGCCGAGCCTCAAGGTATTGTGCGTAGGCGTGATGATCTAATTCAGGTCCAAAGTAATGCCATCTAAGAGCAGCAACAACAAAAACAAAAAAGAAGAAAAAAAACAACTGGTTATACGTATATTTATATTCATTTATTCGCATGCATGCATGTATTTATGTATGTATGCATGCATGCATGCATGCATGCATGAATAGTGAAGAAATAAGAAGGAATTCAGTGCAAATATGGACAGAGAAAAGGAAGAAAAAAAAGAATAACGAAAAAGAATTTAAAATATAAACGCAACAGATACCACAGACAGCGACGAGTGTGCGTTGTATTATATATATGTATATATATATTATATATATTACATATATTATATATATTATGTAGGTACTATATATACGTATATACGCATATTACATATTATATATATATTATACCTATATGTATATAATATGTATATTATATATTATATAAACATTATATTACACATATAATATAAATCATATATTATGCATATATATGCATATATATATATATATATATATAT